TGCTGTGTAAGAGGTTTACTAGGATGAAACCCAGGAAACCACTAAGAAGTACATCTTACCTGCTCTTGTCTTGCACAGTTAAGGTATTATCTGTGCAATCCCAGAGGTCTGTCCAGGAACCCTGCTAGTCTTTTGCAGCTAAATAATAGTAAGGACAAAAATCATGATTACCTAAGGACTCCCAGGTGCAACAGAGACTTCAAAGCACAAACTGTTTCATCAGTTTCCTAATCTGAGCATTAATTTTCTTCCTCTCAGCAAGCAGTAGAAACTCGTCTCTTAAGAAACTGCAACCAGCCCAGCCAAGGAACAGCCACTATAGATGCCATGTACCAAATCCAAGCAAGACTTCCTGAATTTAGAGAGCTCAGTAGTGACACATTTTAATCACGTTAGGAGCACTCTGTTTTATTTCAGCAAAGCCGGGGAGCGGGAGGGGGCATCAACCTGCAGAACTGAAAGTGAAACCCAGAGGAACTCCCCAGCCCTGGCCGCCAGGTACCTTCCCTGCCTGCACCCGAGCTGCACAGAGCCTGTGTTTTCCCTGCCTTCACCAAGGTTTCCTTGGAAAGGAAAGCTGAGAATAAGATCGTGGACACCACGGAAAGCTCCTGCCCAACACTGTAGAAACAGCTGATGGGACCTAAAGGCACCAAGGGTAATTGTGAAGGTTCATTAGAAAACTATGGCACGTTTGTTCAGTCTTTCTCTTTAATTGCTACTTCCTTTTCTTATCAATTTTAATGCCAGCCTCTTAATGTAAAATTTCTTTTTTTTTTATGATAATGTTCACCCCTTGCTTATTAGTCCCTTCATACAAAAAATTCCACCAATTTAAATGGTTACTAATATACCCAGGTGTTGGTAGGGGCTGATGCCTGCAGACTGTTTTTAGTGCTAACAGTACGATATGTTCTTTTCTCTGAAACTGGAATCTGGAATGTAGACACATATATAAGTTCATGATTTTGAGTAATTTTGCCTATCTGACCATGTCCAGTGGTTTTCAGCCTGTCATCTGTAGACTTCTGGATTTATCCTTAGTATACCTTAAAGCTGGCATACAGACACCTGCACATCCACTGGAAGCTCTCAAGCCTTGAAATGGCAATAAAAAGTTGAAAATAGCTGTTTGGTGACATTGAGCTTCCTAGACACTTTAAGGCAGTGTCATAAATGGTGCTGTTTAGAGAATTGGTCTGACTCCCTTCTCCACCCTCGCTGTGTCTGCTGTGGTTGTCATGCCTGGGAACTGCTCTTTGCATGAGTTGATGAGGATGAGCAGTCTCACAAAGGAGAAAGTTGTCCCAGGTAAAATCCTGGGAAAATTTCCACGATTTTAGGGGGCCTGGAAGTCAGCTTGTATGTAGGCAAAGAGCAGATTTCTACACAGTGGTAATACCTCTTCTGACACAAATAGCCTTTTAAGGTCACAGAGTGCAAGGTAGAAAGAAGTCAGGGCATGTGGTGATTGCAGGTACCTGTAAATGTTTACTTGCATTTTTACTTTTCTCAGTTAAAAGTACAATACTTGGTTTGTTCATCAAGTCATTTAAAAACTGGGAAAGCCTGCAAGAGAAGATCCCTGGAAAATAAAAATACATAAACAGTAACTGCTAAAACACTCCTCAGAGGACGAAAGCAGTGTAAAATTTCTTGTGTTGGAGAGCAATGTACAGCAAAATAGAAGAAATCTTCACTTCTAAAAGTGGCTTTCACTAATAATGTGTTAGTCCTTAAAGTGCACTTTATGGACAAGGATTTTTAATATAAGCTTTTAAGGTTAGAGCTGCAAACCTAAAAAGGTTGCCTGACATTTAACAATGATCAACCCTCAGAAGTTCCCAGTGAATACCTATTTCTGAAAATTGTGTTGTTTTCAGAGTAACACTGGACATTCCTTTGTCTGCATAACACTTCAAGGTGTCATCTTCATCGTGTATGTGGAGAGATCTTGAACTGAAATTCACCACTTAAACAGATTTGGGAGTTCCTGACCACCAAACTGGTAGGGGCAAGTTATATCTCTGAGACGCCATGGACATGCCAAACACCTACAGGTGAGAAAACTACTGCTTTGCCAAGGGTCAGAGTGTTTTTCTTGCCGCTGTGCTCCAGCTCCCAGGGGGATCTGTCAGATGTTCACAGTGAGGTCCCCTGACTAAACACCAGCACGTTGCGTTACTCCACACTGAAGGACACAACACGGTGTCTGTCATGCAGTCCCCCGGTGTGGAGTCATCTCCCAGGTGGCTGGAAAGCGCAGGCAGAGAGTGGGAGGAAAAGCAGTAAAATGTGAGCTGGATTTGATTTTATTCCAATTTAGTAGGAGAGGCAGGGAATTAACCATGAAAACAAAAAAGGGGGGCTTCAGTGCCTGTTCCCAGGAGACAATAAGTGTGAGGCTGAACTGAAGTGTTTGCAGGAGAGAGAAAAAAAACAGGAGAGTCTGGTCCCCATGATGAGAGAGAAGATGGGAAATTCAAAGCTGTACGTTAGAGAAATGAGGAATCAGCAGCTGTGATCACTTTCTTAATCTACAGTACCTCTACCGAAAGTAATAAATTAAGTTGCATTAGCTGTAAGGGTTAAATACTTTGTTTTTAAATATTTCTTACAATTTCCCATGCCTCCCACAAAAATGTGTATGTTAGCCTGAGAAAAACTGATGTGCCTAAGGCTTGGAAAGGAAAGAGCAATTGTGATGAGATTTGACATCCTGAAGGGCTTGTTCTCTGATCAGGGAAGAAATGAAGCATTGCATTTTAAAAGAGATTTTCAACTGAATATTGTAATTGGACCTCACTTTTAAAGTGTTTGAAATCCTCTCAGGGTACAATATAGTGCACACAAAAAAAGTCTGTGATATTTTGATGTTTGCTTATCTACATGCTGTCCCAAAGTATAACAGAACATGGTGTAAATTATGAATAGCATGTGGGCGCTCTGCTTTGCACTGCAGGAGATGTGGTTAGAAGAAGATTTTAGAGTTCAGCATTTTGTGTCTGTCAGTAACAAACTAAGTCAAAGGAAAGGATCTGAATGTATGTCTGCAATTTAATTCTGCACAAGCCATGGCTTGGTCTTCTGTGGGACATTTTCTGTCTGTCTCCTTTCTTTTGCAGGATTTTAAGTGAAAGAGACAGAATAAAAAGTCCAGCTGCAGTAACTTCATTGACACAATGGGTTTTATCTATGTTGCTAGTATATTGAATACAGTAGAAGCTACAGGTTTCCATTAGGAATCTGCAAGTAGTATTTTTCTTCTTATAACACTGCGGTTAAACACTCAAGCTATCAGTGTTTGTATTGATCATCTAAGGAGACCTCATGCTTTATCTTCTTTAACAATGAACTTTGCTCAGAAGGATAAAGGGAATGGATATTGGTTCTCCTCCTCTTGAATCCCAGAACAGTATCCTTTAGAGGTCACTTTTTTGTTGTTTAAAATGTGTGATTAAAGTATTGTTGTTCCCAGATGACCAATGTTTGGGATGGGAGGAGAGAGAGGCAAGTGTGTAACACCTGGTAGAATAAGTTTGCAAATGAACTGGCATTATTTGAGATAACAATAAATGACAGCTGTAAAAGGAAGATTTACCAATATGGAGAGAGAACACATTAAATTGCATCTATTTAAATAATTATTAATTAAACTCTCTATTTCTGCATAATTTAATATGACCATTATTAAAATCACACAATTCATCCAAGTAAGCATGCCCGTTTAACCTGGGGGCTGCTTTGTGGAGAAGAGAGGATCTCAGCTCCTGAAAAAAAGGTGTCTGCCAAAATCACAGTCACAGTCCTTCTGGGCCTCAGTTTCCTCCTCTGTAAAATAAGTAGAATAACCTGATTTTTTTCCCCCACTGAGCTGCTATATTAATGTATCCTTTTTGTAAATCCAGTAGAAGGATACAAAATGTTCTAATGTTCTTGGGCTTGTTGTTATGAGCATTTTCTATTTTGAATCCCTGTGCAATTTTAGATGGGAGGCAGAAGTGGGTCATTCCCTAGCGATCTTATTATGGAAATCTTTCCTTTATATAAGGACCTTTAATTCTGCTGTTGCTCCTCTGCCTTATTGGTGACAGATTTGGCCATCGCTTGTTTATCAGTACATATTTATTTTAATACATCACAGTGGCTTCTGCCCATGGGCTATTACCTTGAATTGTAAAATAACTTTTATTAGTATTTCTGTAAAGAAGAAGGTCCTGTCACCAAAGATGTAGTGGTAGCACAAAACATCAGGAACTCTGACCCAAGAAACCAAACCTAATTAATCAGAGCCTGCAGCTCAACCCAGTTTGCTGTTCAACAGTAGTTTTGATTAGTAGGACTAGAGGCAAAGACGACTTTTTCCTTCAGTGCTTAAAAAGAGAAGAAAAGAAAATGCATGTATACATTTGACACAAGCTGGTGCATACATTGCAGATTACTGTTGTTTAGGCTGGGTGTCCTTGAATCACAGAACAACTTTAATGACCATTAGCCGCTCTCTCAGTGATTAAGTAAATGATCTCAAGACAATGAACTGCTGGGTATGTTCCCAAACACTTGGTACAGTTTATTGAAACTGATCAGTTTAAACAAGCGGTAAATTGAGATTCACTTCAACCTCTACCTATTTGGCAAATACAATTAGTGAAGACACTCCCTAGCTTATGGAGAGGTGAAGCTGACTTTCAGTACTGACAGAAAGTGCAAATCTTTAATGCATCAATGTTGGTAATTTACATTCAGTATTGGGAATAAAAATCTAAAAGACATGGGTGTTTTCTGGAGCTCCAGAGAGCAGCAAGAACATCAGCTCAGCAATCACTGTTGCTGATGTGCTGTATGAGGAATGCATATTCAAGTCAGTGCCTAATGCAGCGAGAAAAAAAAATTGCAGTTGTTAACGCATCTTGAACTGAAAGAAAATTTGGGCCTTGGTGGAAAGAAATGAAAGACAGACATACTTAGAAAGTAGGAAACATACTAAGAAGCTACCTTACCTCCATCTAGTTCTTCAGCTCCAAAATGATTCCTGTAGAAGAGCATAATCTCTATCTTGTAACACTTGTAGATAGTAACTAAACAAACAAGCAGCAGAAGAATAGCACCAAGCCCACCAGCAAGCTCAACTGTGTACATCAGCTCTGCAAAGAATCACAAAAGACAATAACAACCACATTCCAAACCACAGAAAGATTAGCAGCAGATCTCGCTCTTATGTGAAACATTAAAATAAAATAATGAATGATGGGTTATTTTTGTATTTATTTCATTATAGGGCCCTTGACGAAATACCTAATTAATAGATTTTTTTTTTTTCCTTTAATAAAATAGTTTTTCCTCTGGTACACCATCTGAACTGCTCATTTAAAAAATAACAATTGTTGGGGATGGTTTCGTGTATGAGTGTATGCATGTATGTAAGAGATATTTGATAACTCTCTTCCTTCTCTGTAGATAGATCACAGTTTGCTTTACACAGATAAATGTTGACATTCCACTTACAATGAAAGCAGAGGTGAATGTTTCTTTTTTGGGGACTATAATGCAAACACAGCTCCTCCCTTACTCCTCACACGAAGAAGATGAGTTTCAGTCTACTGAATAAGATTACACTAAAGATTTGATTTTTTTTTTCCAAAGAAAAATAAAAATTTTTAGAAAACCCCCAAACTTGAGAGTTGTGAAGACAAATTATCCAAGGAACCCTCACATCTCAGTTACATGTTAATATTTTTGACACAGTGTCCCAATGATCTGCAGTTCATCTTTATTCTCCTCTTTCCCCCAGTGGGGTTGGCTTATGTGTAGTCACAGCAAACCATCCGGATTTGTCCATTCTGACATTCCCATTCAGACCATGACCCCCTGGTGTCTTCACTGCATGCTGCCACTGGAGACTCACATGATGGATTGAGATCCTTGCCATGTAGCTCCGTTCCTGAGGACAGGGGCTCTGGTCAAATGTGGCCACAACTATCACCAGCAGCATCCTCAGTGGGGCTGCTTAACAGTGCATAAGTAATATGCCATCATGGACTTTCACCCCCCCAGTCTTAAGTGTTGCACACTCAAGGAAGCTCACACAGTTAGGTGGCATCCATTTAGTTGTTACTTTTCATTTGCATATTGACTGAAAACTGGCAATGTTAAAA